CCCCCAAAAAAAGGAAATGATTACTTTCTCACTCTTCAGATCAGATGCTAGGTGTTTTGTAATTTATTTCTAGTCATTAATAGCACTGGCAGAGCCACTAATCTTTGGAAATAGTAAAAACAACTTTATTTTCAACCTCAGATGGATGCACCATTCAGAATGAGATTCAAAGGAGGTTGTAGATTCCAGCTGTTTACTTGATGGTGCTTCATGCTACTATAACTAACACTACCTCTACCTTTTCCTCTACGTTCTCTATGTCTCTCTCTCTCTGTGTTTCTCCTTCTCACCCTCCCTCCTTCACTGGGTTGTATAATATTGGTGATAAAAACACTCAAAATGACAAAGCGAGGAATTGATAAATGATTGCTGTACATTATAATAACTTGAAAATCAAAAAGCAGGAAGCTCCCATTAAATCTGGAACAGTTGCATGGCAACTTCCCAAAGTCTTATTTTCCTGTCTTGCAAAACAAATCCCACTCTTTCACCACCCTCAGCACAAAAGAAGTGAAAAAGAAAAGTCGATGGAGAAAGGGGGGGGGGTGTTTAGGCTATTGAGCACATTTTGAGTAACATGTGTTGACAACAGTAGGCTACTACTGTAAGCAACGACCAAAAATGTCAGCCGAGGGGAGGGGGAGGAGGGAAGATGAAAACTGCCTACAATTTCTTTGTGTTTACAAGACCTGTAGGAATTTAAAAATAAAAATCTAGTTAAAGTAATGTGCACTGATAAAGAAGAAAAAAAAAGAGTGATTTTAAAGCGTTTCATCTTAAACAAAGTCCGTACTGTAGCTGCGCTGGGTGTCCTCTTTTTGAGAGAGAGAGAGAGAGAGAGAGAGAGAGAGAGAGAGAGAGAGAGAGAGAGAGAGAGAGAAAGAGAGAGAAACGGAGACAGAGAAAGGGAAAGAGAAAGAGAGAAAGCACGAGATATTACAGGCCCAAATACACACATGCAAATGTTTCCAATTATTCAGCTGCCCTACTAATTACGTGAAAAAATAGGTCATTTCTGTATGACAACATAGACAGGAAGCAGAAATGTGATGTTATCATGAGTGTGGTGACGTAAATCTTTATCCTTGCCCCAGCGTGCACCTGCCAGTACATCTCTCTGTCCCCGCCGTGCATAATTCATGGTGCGGAGTGTGTTGCCTCGGACAGAAAGGTTTTTAAAAAATTTTTGATAAGTGTTTTACGGCGCTCGCAACTGCATAAGGTCATAATATGATCGCGAGGGACACATTAAACATTTTCAGTCTGTAGGAAATTTTGAATTTTGCCCAGGTGGCGGCCGAAGCCTACTCTTATCGATTATACCACCAAGGGATCTTCAACGTACGCAGCTTGCACACGCGACCTCCGAGATTTTTCGCCCTTGTACGAGAAGGCTAAA